AGCCCGCCATCCCCGCCCTCCGCACGCGCCGCGCCCGCGCGGCAGGCCGCCAGCAGGAAGGCGACCTTGCCGCTGATCGCGTCTTTCCCCCAGCGGCTGCCCTCCTCGCTGCCGCCGCAGGCCACGGTGCCCGCGGCAGCAGCCCCTGGGGGCGCCGCAATGGCGGCACTCCCCCCCCCCTTGCGCCGCTGCAGCTCTGCGCAGCGACAGGCGGCTGCGTGTGCGAGCTCCTCCTCCGCCGTGGGGACGGTGGGGCCCCACCGCCGCTGGCCAGGGTGGCCGCGGCGACGGCTCCAGCAGGCGCCTCGCAGGGGGCCCTGCCCTTCCTCGCACTGCAGTCCCGCGCGCCACCAGGCCGCCGTGCGAGGGGGCGCGACCGCCGTGGGGAAGGCGGACGGCCACCGCCGCAGGCCACGGTGGCCGCGGCAGTGGCCCCAGGGGGCGCCGCACTGGCGGCACTTCCCCCCCTCGCCTCGACCTCCTCGCGTGGCCAGGCAGCGCCTCCGACTCCGTCGCTGTCCTCACCTCCGCCGCAGGCCGCGGTGGCCGCGGCGGAGGCCCCTGGGGGCGCCGCGCTGGCGGCCCTTCCCCCCTCACCTTCGCCTCGCTACGCGGTCTGACCCAAGCCAGGCCGCCTCCATCTCCTCCTCGTCCTCGTCCTCGTCCTCGTCCTCCCCGTGCCAGCCGTAGGCGGCTCGAGGGCCGGGAGGTGGTTCATTGTCGGCGTTCAACCTGGGGGGCCGCAGATATGGATAGGAAAGCCCCCCCTGGCCGGCCCCCCCCGCCACCCGCCTTCCGGTCGGCCGGGGGCGGGCGGGAGAGCAGGGGGAGGGAAGAGGGGAGGGAGGGGGGGCGAGAGAGCCGGAGGGCAAGGGGGGGGGGGAGGGGAGGAGAGAGAGGGAGACCGACCAGAAAGACAGGGAGGGGGGGGGCCGACCAGGGGAAGAGGGCGGAACGCGGTGTCTCGATCGTGCACACAGCCCAACATCCCCACCGCACACTCCCGCACATAACTCGCACGAGTCGCACAGAGCCGCTGCGGCACCAACAGGCGGGATCAACAAAGTCATGTCCCCGCTGGAAGTGGCCGCAGCAGCGGTGGGCACCACGCACAGTGGCCCCACTTGATGCATTTAGGCATGCCGACCTCCATTGGGGCCGACGCACCTGTAGACAATGATAATCGTGGGCGTGGGTCGCCCCCCCCCTGGGCCCCGGCCCCGGGGCCTTGCCCACGGGGGGGACGGGACGATCGAGGCCCCCCACCCCAGAGAGAGAGAGCGCACAAGAATCGAGATAATCAATAATCGTTTCCGTCCCAGTCCAGTTGTGGTCACGCACTGAATCAATACATCGCTGTCATGCAGTGAATTCTATACCCGCCGTGCCATAGGTGTCACGGCGACCACCGTCGCTTCGGCACTCAGCCGCCGCCAGGCGGGGCGCCTGCGCCCCCGTCCACAGCCATGGGCGCTACGGCCCCCCCCCGCCAGCGCCGACGCCTCCGCCTGCTGCTGCGCCCGCCGCCGGGGCCGCTCCCGCGAGCAACCCCGCGTTGCCCGCCGCCGCAGGGCGCTGCAGCACGCCGTGCCGCCCCTTCCCGCCCTTGCCCCCCTTCTTGCCCTTGCCGCCGGCTTTGCCGGCCTGGCCCTTCTTGCCTCCCTTGCCGGTCTTGCTGCCCTTGCCGGCGCCTTTCTCGCGCTCCGTCCTCGTGCGCTCGGCCCACATCAGCACAACCTTCGGCGCCGCCTGGCCGTCGGGGACCACCAGAGCCGGCGCACCCCCCACAGCCAGGCCAGAGGCCCGGCGGAGGGGGCGGTCGAGCAGCCTCAGCTTGCTCCTGACCACGCTCGTCTCGTGGCAGGGCTCGAAGACAAGGTTGAACTTGCCCGGGAGCCGCACCCTGCGGCGTGCCGCCGCGTCAAAGCCGTCCTGGGCGTAAACACTCTGGATCGCTCCCACAGCGGCGGTCTGTTCGACTTTGTCTGGGTTCGTCTCCTGCTGAGGCCCAGCTGACGCGCCAGCGTCTCGGCAACCGCGGCGGGCCACTCCTGCCTCATCTCCCGGTACTCCCTCTGTGGCTCACGCGCCAGCCAGATAGTCTCACAGGGCCCCTCGAACCCGACCGAAACCAACCGTGTCCCCTTCTCCTCTTTTTCCAACCCTGCATTGAAACTTGCACTGGGAAGCGGATCCTGGTGTATACAGGACCCTGGTGTATACATCTTTCGTTGTTTCCCCGGGACATGTGGGAAAAAAGTACACACCACACCACCCCAGCGTCTTCCCCGACCCTCAAGAAGTCCTAGGATTGAAAAACAGCCCGCCGCTGGTAATGCATATGTTCCAGCTTCCGACTCAAATCCCAACGCGTCTCCTCACTGCGGGGAGGGCCGTCCTGGAAGACGAGGCCCACTTGGCACGCTGTACAGGCGCGACGAACCAAATTCTCGAAGACGCTTTCCCTCCATGCACGTAGTTGTTGCACGCTTTGACACTTCGGGCAGTTGAACTCGGGAGGGCCTCACGCGGAAACTCCATGTTGATAAGAAGCCGCCCTCCATCGTCTTGGAAAGCCGTGCCCCGCAGAGCGAAGAAGAAATGTCAAACGATAGCCGCATCTTGAACTGGATCTGTGACTCCAACCGCACGGCGCAGCGGCATCAGAAGCAGGAGGAAGAGGAGGAGAGAGGAGGAGGAGGAGGAGGAGGAGGAGGAGGAGGAGGAGGAGGAGGAGGAGGGGACAAGGCAAGAGCCTTGGATGCCCCTGTCGAGGCTCCTCAAGCGGGGCTCGCCCTCGGAGGGGGAATCGGAGGAGGAGGAGGAGGAGGAGGAGGAGGAGGAGCAGCAAGAGGAGCAAGCGGAGCAAGATGAGAAGGAGGAGGAGGAGGAGGAGGAGGAGGAGGAGGAGGAGGAGGAGGACGAGGAGAAGGAGGAGGAGGAGGAGGAGGCCCCCGCGGCCGCCCCCCCATGTCGATGGAGGGCGCGGCGGCCCCCCCGCGTTGACCGAGGGCCGCCCCTTCCCACGCGCAGCCGCGGCAGCTGCTCGGGACAGTCGGGCGCGGCGCTGCTGTGCGATCCCCGCCGCTCGAGGGCGGACCGCCCTGCCCCCGCGGAGCTGTCGCAGACGTGTCGGATACCGCCGCGCGCGATCCAGGAGGAGGAGGAGGAGGAGGAAGAATGAGGGGGAGGGGAGGAAGACAAGCTAGGTGCGCTCGCGTCATATCTGACATCCTACCCCTCCCTCCAATCCCTTGCCATGGCGTGGATCCTCTCTCTACTCGCACAGGTCGGATGTCGAACAGGGCAGTGATCCCGAAAGGGTACGCGATGCATTGTAGAGCACGGCGTGGCATGGCGTAGAAGAGCACCGCAAAGCGGAGTATGTCACAGCATGGCGTGGCGTGGCGTAGTGAAGAATTGCATCACAAAGCTTTGCAACGCAAGGCATGGCATCGCACAGCGGCCCCGAACTTAACATTGCATATCATGGCGTTGAAGATCAAAGCGTCGCATGGCATAGCACGACGTGGCACTTAAGCACTGCATTTCACATCTTCAGCTGAAGGCATGGCATCGCGCAGCGGAACCCAACCTCGCATTGCATTGCATGCCGTGGCATGGCACGGGAAATGACGCCAGCGCTGCAGCGGGAGCACGATTCGGAACGAGCGGAAGCGCGAAAATGAGGCCAGCGCTGCAGCGGGAGCACGATTCGGAACGAGCGGAAGCACGGAAATGAGGCCAGCGCTGCAGCGGGAGCACGATTCGGAACGAGCGGGGCCCGAAAATGAGGCCGGCGTCTCAGTCAGCGAGAGCAGCATTTTGAAAAAAATGCAGCCGAAAACCCAACTCCGGGGAATCCTGTGTGTAAAAAACAATACGCGGGGGGGGGCGAACACTCCCAACCCGTCCTCAGGGGAAGGCGGAGAATTGTATTCATATTGAGTAATTTGTGGAGGAGGGGGAGGAGGAAGAGGAGGAGGAGGATGAGGAGGATATAAGATAAGAGCACCATTGGCGCCTCTGGTCTCTGAGTCTCAAAATCGAGGCATCGGCGACACGCACACACACACACACACCGTGTGCCAACTGAACGATGACGACAGGCACACTGCACGGGGGATCCCGCGACTGGCCTGCAGGCGCCACGACACGTGGATGGCCCACACGTGGGCCTGATGGCACAAGCCGCACGCCTTACTGCCCTCCCCCCGCCCCCCGCCCACTCCCCGCCGTACCCCGCCCCTTTCCTTTCTCCGAGTCTCTCGGGGGCCTTAAACAACCTTCCTGAGCGCTGAAAAAGTTAGTGCAACTGCAGGGCCCAAGTGGCCCCTCATGAGAAGCCCAGCCATTCGCATCAAAAAAACTTCAAGGCGCCCAGCCAGGCGCCTAATTTCTCCAGCGCTGCCAGACGGTCCAGGCCCCTGACCAAGGCCTGGGTTTGAGGTCTGTCCCCCCTCCGCGTGGCCGGAGCCTTGAGGAGGCGCCACTCGTCTCAGCTGAGGTGTTCAGCTCCTCCAGCAACTTCGAGGCCTCCCTCGCCAGCGGGCCCCTCGGCGGTGGGCCGATCTTCTTCACCCCGTTCTCCTTCTTGATGGCCGAGCGCGCCGCCGCCTCGAGATCCCGGCAGTGGTTCGAAAAACAGATCGTGATCATCTCATCTCTTCTGCGTTCTACTTATTGCGAGTGTCCTTGATCCTGCAGCGGCGGATCTGCTCCGCCAACAAGTGCAACTCCTCCTTCAGAACCTGGTTCGTCCAGAAGGCCTCGATCGTCTCTCAGTGCGTCTGATTCAGGTCCGCCGTCTCGTGCGCTGCCTTGACCAGCGCCTTGAACGCGTGAAGAAACGGCGGACCAAGGATGTCGTGGCCCCCGCCGCCTCCGTCCTGCCCGCCGTTCGCCTTCAGCTGCTTGGCGTGGGCGTGGCACCCCTAGCCCGCCCGCTTCATTGCGGACGCAATGGGCGAGGCGGCGGGGATGAGGAAGACGTGTTAGACCGCCGCGATCAGGTCTCGACGCTCGGCCTCCTGCGCGAGAGCCAGCGCGGCGAGCACTTTCATCGTGCGCTCTAGGAGCTGCTGCTTGGCACCGCTGCCGCCGGCGCCGATCTGCGTCAGCAACTTCTTCCGCTCCTGACTTTGCTCGTCGGCGCCGCGCTTCAGCGCCCACTTCGGCTTCTCGAGCGGCATGCCTATGCCCAGGCACGTGCGAAACAAGGTGTTGATGCAAAGCCAGAAGATCTGGAGCCGAATACTCGCACAACGAGCAATCGAAGGTGTCAGGCATGTCCACGGCCCCAAGAAAGCGCCCCCTCGAGACTCGATCAGCACGAACTTGCCTAGCGCTGACATGCCGATACGCAGCTCGACAGCAGGAGAAGACGTCGAGGCAGCACGGGCATCGATTAGTTACGACGATCAACGCGCACATGCCGGCAAGGCGGTGCAAACGCTGAATGCGAGCGGACAAGGCACGACTGGAAGCGAACGACGACCTGCACGGCTGGCCGTTCCCCTCGAAAAAAAAAACGCAGCCAAAGCCCCTCCTCCCCCTCGCGACGATCATGACGCCCAGGCTCGTCCTCTGCGCACGGTTTTGAACATCTTGGGCCCTCAACAGGCCCGCATCCACCTGCAGGAAAACGTGCCTCACCTCGTTGTCGCAAAGCAGGTCCGCAACCTAATCCTCCATCTCGTTCAGAAGCCACTCAGCATCCTCCACTGCCCCCAAAGCTTCCACGTCCTCTGGAACCCTCAGAGCTCACGGATTCGCCGACGCCTTGAGCTGCCCCAGCTCCGCCATAGCCCCCTTCCGCCGCCCACCCCATGTTTCCGAAGTGTGCCGCGAGCCGCTGTCGATGCCGCTCAGGGTGTCGCGAGATTGCTTGCAACCGCTTAAGCCGCCGAGACCGCAGTTCGACAGACAACGAACACAGGCGCCAGTGCTGACGTACCTGCTCGTTAGACGAGGATGTGTGGACCCCCTCGCTGTCTGCGCGAGCTCCTCCTCTCAGTGCTTTGCGCGCCAGCTGGTCTAAACCATGTTCCAAAACAACGAGCTGGCGATCTGACGGGATATGCGCTTCTAGATTCGCAGCTGCCGTGCCTACTACAAAAGATGAGAATATGGAGCGTTTCAAGCGATATGGAACGCCTTTCAAAAACCGAAAAACTGCAGATATAATAAAACATCTTGTGCACCGCCCGCTTGCGGGCCCTGAGATCTGGAGCAAAAGCTTGTGCCAGTCGGGCATCAGCAACACATTGCCCCCCAAGGTACCGTGCCCGGTGACAAACGCTCCCTGAGGTCTTTGAACGCCCCGTGCGAACGTCTCGCAAATCGCGATGGGACCCAGGGCCCGACAAGTGCAACAGACAAGTTTGTTGCTTAGTACTCTGAGCACAGTTACCCTCCGCCAAGGCTTCCGACAAGAGATCGGACGCCTTGCGCACTCGTGCCAGCAGAGGTGCAGCTCTCTCCCTTTCCCTTCCTAAATGGGAAAGCTCGAGGTCGTCAGCATAGCGGCACAGCGTCACGTCGATCGGATCGGGATCGCAAGGGCTGCACGCAACCAAACTCCCGTCCGTTACCCTCGCTGCGGCCATCGCGCTGCGCCACCGTTGCACACTTGGTCGGATGGCCCTCACCCACGCCGCCACCATGAAAGGGTCCCCCATCGTCCCTCCACAACCAGGCCGCAAAAGCACGGACCCGAATTCGCATGGAACACACATGGTGGCCTGCTCCACTCTTTGGGGCCCCATGGGAATCGCACCTCCATCAAACAGCTCCTCCGCCGCCTCCTTCAAACGTCTTTGCGCTATGCTACCAAAAGCATTCGTAGCATCGACGAAAAGATCTGCCTGCATGTTGCGCCCTCCACGCTAGAATCGACGAGGCCAACATCGGAGTCTCCCTGCACCTACTGGGTTGGTAACCGTGCGCATCTGGGGCCGTATTCGGCCTCGGCAGAATTGCCGAATGCCACACTTTGCCAACAGAGGGAAGCATGTGCACCCAGCGTTTGCCCGCGGGGCCTTCAGCATCGGTCTTCCGAAGGCCGCCGGCCTGACTACAGTGACAGGCCCGAGGGGTACACGTGGCCGTCCGAAGTCGCCAAATCCCCAGATGCACAGCTTTCGTGAACAAAAAGGTCGGTCCAGACGGGTCGGGGGCCCCAGCTCCAGCAACTTGCTTCTCCGAGGGAATCCCCGCCCAAAGGTTCAAGGCCATGTCCCAGAGCTCCACGGGGAACGACCACTTAGGAGAGACCCTACGCTTAGGAATCCTACGCAACGGAATCCTACGCAGCTTCCGGCAGATTCTCTTCATATCCTCTCGCGCATGCTCGTGCACAAGGGCGCTAAAGTGTGCCGCCTCCGAGGGGACGGGTGGCAGTCCTCCCCATCACTCCACCTCCCGAGCCGCCATCCTCCCCTCTGGTCCAGGCTGCGCCCAGAAGGCCAGCTGCTCCTCGCGCGTTGGCAGGGCAGCGCGCACCTAAAGAATATTCCGTTTCTTTGGGCCGATGCGCACTCCCGCCGCTGCGCGAGCGTGAAAAAAAACAGCGTGCAAGTTCCTCGAGCCCCACGACTCACGCAAGGCCTCGAGGTGTTCCTCACGCTTCTGCTGAAAAAGCCAGTCGTGACATCGCGCGCAGCTCCCTAGTAGCCTGGCGAAGCTGATTTGTCACAGCCTCCAACGCCTGGGAAGAGGTGCCCGCCAGGGCCGTCCTAAGCTCATGTCGCTTCACCAGCAGTCGAGAACGGGTCACCTCTAGCTCCGCTTTGCCAGGCACGCTCTGAGAAGATTTCGAAAACGGCCGCACAGCTGCATCGCATAAAACCTGCTCCAGGAAAGCGAACGGCCTAGCAGGCGAAGGCTGGGCCCTCAAGAGAGGCCCACTCCGCCTGCGGTTGCTCCATCCTCCCCTCCACTCCGTCCAGAAACTCACGCAGCCCCCTTGCCTCCTTGCCTCCTTGCCTCCTTGCCTCCTTGCCTCCTTGCCTCCTCCTCCTCCTCCTCCTCCTCCTCCTCCTCCTCTTCCTCCTCCTCCTCCTCTTCCTCCTCCTCCTCCTCCTCCTCCTCCTCCTCGAAACGCTGCCATCATCGCGTCGGGGTGCAAGCGCCGCGGTCCCAGCGCCGGGGGGGCTGGCGAGGCCTCGAGCACCGCTCGCGCCAACGATGGCCTCACGACCTCCACAAAAACGGGGAGGTGATCACGCCGCGTCGCCGTGCTGATCGGCTGCCACTGCCTACCTTTGCCTACCAGAGGGCCCGCAGCGCGCACAGCTTGCGCCATGGCCGTCGGGAGGCAGACATAGTCTTAAGTCGGGCGTGTCCCCCTACAGGGGGATTTTTGACGAAAAATAGAAAAACACCCCCAAGATACTCCCAAATGGTGAAAAAATGCTGGACAAATAGTCCCACACTATTTTTTCTATTTCCCTACCTAGGCTCTGTCTAGAAGGGTTCTGACTCTCTTGGCTTAAAAAGCCAGGCAGTGGGAACTGGCCCAGGCGGTTCCCCCAGTATCCGCCCCGCGGTTCCCCCAGTTACGTCCCCTTAGCTTAGCGTTGCTTATCTCATCTTAGCTTAGCTTATTTCATCTTAGCTTAGCTTCATCTGACCTCAGGTTATCTTAGCTTAGCTTACCTTCATCTTAGCTTCGCTGAGCTTTAGCAGAGCAGAGCACAGCATAGCAGAGCAGAGCGTAGCATAGCATGACGCAGCATAGCATATCATAGCATAGCCCAGCATAGCATAGCAAAGCGCAGCATCTCATAGCATAGCATAGCATACCATAGCGCAGCACAGCACAGCACAGCATAGCACAGCGCAGCATAGCATAGCATATCATAGCAGCAAAGCCAAGGCAAAGCAGCAGCAGCGACAGCAAAGTAAAGCACAAGCAACGCAAAGCAAAGCGGAGCAAAAGCAAAAGCAAAGCAAAGGAAAGGCAAAGCAAAAGCAATGTGCGACAGATGCCGAGCTAGCCTCGATGGCCGGACCGGAGCCCCCGCAAGCAGTGCCTTCCGTAACAATTTCGGCTCAAGTCCGGAGGCCCTGCCACACAGCCGCCCACGCTCATGTCCCGAGGTTGGCGGAGTGAGGCGTTCAGCGGTGCTGCGCAGCCCGCCTCGGCACCAGGTGGTGCTGCACAGCCCACATGGTTAGCATGCGTGTAATCCCACCAGCCCTTTGGGCGTGAGTGGTTTAGAGAGCTCCCTCTGTCCTCAACCCCCCTTCTTCCCCTTCGGGGAGGGGTTTACCCCTTCCCCTACCCCCTCCCCCTGGACCTGGACAGGGAGTCCCGGGTGGTGGCAAGGGGGTCTTTTTCGACTCCTGGGAGGGCCAAAAAACGACGACCCTCACGAGGATTCTGGCCCCGACGGGGGGAGGGAGTTTGGCCCCTCTGCTCTTCTTTGAAGCCAAAAACATTGATTTTACTAGGGTGTTGGCCGCATTTTGGCCTTCTGAGGGGGCAGTGCTCATCGTCCTTCATAGCAAAATCATTGATTTGACGAAGGTTTTGGGCTCATTTTGTCCTTCTCGGGGGGCAGCTCTCATTTGCGCTTCTGAGGAGGTCGCAAGAGGCCCCAAGATGGCCCCAAGAGGCCCCCAGGAGGCTCCCAAGAGGCCTCCAAGAGGCCCCCCTGAGGCCCCCAAGAGGCCCCAAGAGGTCCCCAAGAGGCACCCAAGAGGCCCCCAACAGGGCCCCAAGAGGCCCCAAGAGGCCCCCAAGAGGCCCCCAAGAGGCCCCCAAGAGGCCCCCCCCCAAGAGGCCCCACGAGGAGCCCGAACGACTCACACCAGGACGAGGGGCCCGAACGACTCACACCACGAAGAGCCCGAACGACTCACACCACAAGGAGGGGCCCGAACGACTCACACCAGGACGAGGCGCCCGAACGACTCACACCACGAGGAGCCCGAACGACTCACACCACGACGCGGGCCCCGAACGACTCACACCACGAGGAGCCCGAACGAGTCACACCAGGAGGAGGGGCCCGAACGACTCACACCAGGATGAGGGGCCCGAACAACTCACACCACGAGAAGCCCGAACGACTCACACCAGGACGAAGAGCCCGAACGACTCACACCACGAAGAGCCCGAACGACTCACACCAGGAAGAAGGGCCCGAACGACTCACACCAGGACGAGAAACCCCAAACGACTCAAATCACGAGGAGCGTTTTCTCTCCCTCCTCCTCCGCCTCGTCCTTCTCCCGCTCCCCCCACAAGGAGGATGTACAAGGAGGCGGGAGGAAGGAGGCACAGGGGAGATACGCGGGGCCAACACGACTGTCGGCGTGCTTCGCAAGAGTTGCTGCTGTGAGATGG